GGATGGATGGATGGATGGATGGATGGGTGGGCAGTGGGTGGGTGGATGGTTGGGTGGGTGGGTAGATGGATGGATGGTGAGAGGGGACAGAAGATCTGAAAAGGAGCCGTCACCCAGGCGAAGTGTCTAGTGGGCCAAGGCCAGTGGGCCCTCCAGTCGCCTGGGCAGAGCAGCTATGGCCTTGAGAAGCCAGCTCTGTCTTGGGGCAGGGTGGGGGCGGGCTGGGCACAGGGTCCCCCTCCAGTTGCATCTCACCTGAGCAAGTGTGCTTGTTCCTGTGGAGAACATAGCCCAAACGGCAGGAGCAGTAGAAGCCACCCAGGTGATTGTGGCAGTGGTGCTCGCAGGTGGGGGCCTCTCCTGGGGGCACCTGGCACTCGTCAATGTCTGGGGGAGGGGCCGGCAGGCAGTCAGCAGGGAAGGAGATGGGACATCGCTGAGGCCTAGGCTCAGGTTTAGGGCCTCTCCGGTATCATGGCCTGACCTGAGAGGAGCCTCCTCTTGTCTGCAGGTGTCTCATGCCCAGCTGAGCGCTAGAGGCCCAGGGTCACTGTGACCTCCCTGCAGCACTTGGAGGGAGACCTAAATACCATCTTTTTTAAACCAATGACGGTTTAATGGTCCTGCTTGTGGTGACTAGGCTAGTGAAAGGAGCGGCCAGCACGGGAACCCAGTGGGTGGGCCTCTATATGGGTTTCACCAAATTCTTGCAGCAGTCTCAGGATGAGCACAGAGAGGTTGAGCCACTTGCCCGAGGCCAATAGCAAGTCCCTGCGGGAGCCAGAATCTGAAAGCAAGTGTCAGACTCGAAGCCCAGAGGCAGATGCCGCGCTCAGGCCAGTGGGGGGCATCACTTTCCACCTGTGAACGGGCTCACTCGGTCCTTGCATCACGGGGCCCGTGAGAACGTCCTGGCTCAGCACCTGGCACAGAATGGGGCTCAGCCTAGAGCAGAGGTCCTGGCTGCTGCTGCTATTTGCACTGTGATGATGATGTCAGACCAGGTGGGGACTCCCTCCTGCTGGTTTGGCAGGAGTCCAGCCTCAGGGAGGGGGGCAGAAGGGAGGGCTGGTCTGGCCCAAGACAGAGTCCCCCCCGCACCAACCGGCCTTCTCTCAGCTCACCCTCTGCTGAGTAGAAGGCCTCGAAGCCCACGAACGGCTTCTCGTTGGAGTAGTCGGAGCGGAAGGTGACGTCGAGGCTGGAGCCCGGTGAGTAGAAGGTGGCGTTGCCGGGCGCCCGCTCCGTGTCCGTGCTCTCTGACCCGCACAGCGTGGCCAGCACCGTGGTCCCGGCGCTCAGCTGTGGGGTTGCGGGTCACGGGGGGGAAGGCGAGACCCCGGGCCTGCCGGCCCTCCCTCCCTCGCTCCGAGGCCAGCCCCCGCCCCCGGGGGTCCCCGTGCCCCAGCCCGTCCTGCCGGCACCTTGACGAAGTCGTACTCGCAGAGGTACGAGGGCTCCAGCTGGAAGTGAGTGAAGTGGAGGCGCAGGCGGTAGCCGGGGGGCGCTGTCAGGGCCCAGCGCTGCTCTTGGTTGTTGGCATACGTGCCTGGGAAGCCAGGAGATGCCAGGCGCCCGAACACGGGCTTGGGCCACTGCGGGCCCGAGGACGTGGTGGCTGCCGAGCCCCACAGCAGACCCAGGGTGACCAGCAGCCTGAAGGCAGCGCAGGGGAGGGGCGGTGAGGCCCAGTCTCACCCCTCACCCCCCGCTGGGGAGACCCTGGGGGCTTCCACCCACCTCATGGTGCACTCGCCAGGCCCGGTCTGGAGCCCCGGGGCGCCTCACCTTTGATCTGTTTGTCCAACGGCCGGCCCTGCCCCCAGCCGCCCTGCCCCTGGCATTCTGGGAACAGACCCCATGACTCCTGCCTGCCCAGACTTCCGGGCAGGCAGGACAGGATGCTCCAGGAGCCAGGGGGCTGAACCTGGATGACAGCCAGCTCCGGGAACAAATCCTGGCTCTGTCCCTCACCCTGAACCTCTGTGGTTCCCCCGCCGTGTGTGACTTCCGAGGTCGCCCAGGGTCTCTGTGACAATGACCTCGGCAGCGATGGCTTCTAGGCGGAGATGGGGGAGGCACACACACACACCTACCTTTGCCTCCTGAAACGCTACGATAAGAGAGAAGAGAAAAGTCTTAAAAACACGAGCCCACGACGATGGGGAATGTGGGAGAGGAGGCAGCATCAACATTTAGGAAGCTGGGGAAACAGATGGACAGGTGGAAACAGCTCTCCAGGAAGCAACTCTAAGTTGGCAGTGGAATCAGGAATTGGTGGCACCAGGTCCTTCTGGACTCATGTAAAAATCTTGCCAATTCCTACTTCCCATCCCCCGACCTCAGCAGAAACGTGGAGACTTATTCTTGGAGGGAGTATAGGGAGAGTCCCAGGCCCAGCTGAGCATGGGAGGGGCAGACAGAAAACAGGGGCACTAAGCAGACAGGCCAGCCTTCCTCTGATTCAACTCCTAGAACCTGGCAGCCACCAGGCTTCTCTCTTTTTCCTGGGAAGTGTTGACGAGTTCAGGAGGAAAGACCTAAAGACACTGACTTAAGGTTCTACGAGCAAATGGCTCAGCCGCCTCACCCACAGTGAAAGTCAGCTGACAAGCCCCCATCATGCGCTCAGAGCTTCCAATTAGCTTTTTAGTCCCCAGTCTTACACATGAGCAGAACATTCAAGGGTTACTGAGGAAAACCTCACACGTGAGGGAGAAAGCCCCCCAAAATCAACCAACCAACAACAATAACAAAACAGTAAGAAGCAGTGAGAAGAAAATGTCCAAAACTAAAATGAAGCAATAATTAATATCTTCAAAGCAAAAAGAGAGGCCAGAACAAGAAGCAAGAACAGTATGCTATTTAACAAGAGCATTCAGAGAACAAAAAACAGTTTGGGGAAATAAAAATATGACAGAAACAAAAAACTCAATAAGATGTTTGGAAGATAAGATTGAAGAAATCTTCCAGAAAAAGAGTCAAAAAGAAATGAAAAAGCAGTAAAGTCCTATACAGTATGTCAAAAGACTAAATAACAGGAATTCTAGAAAAAGACAACAAAGAAAACAGAGGAAAGGAAATTATAAACAAAATAATGCAAGGAAATTTCCCAGAACTGAAAAGAATGTGAGTTTACCGATTGAAAATGTCCTCCAAGTGCCCAGAACAACAGATGAAAATAGAACTTTACACCTGATATTTGCAAAACACCAGAGAGAAAAATTATGTTCTACAAACTTTGAGAGACAGAGAGAGAGGAGACAGAGAGAGGAGAGCGAAAACAGAGCAGATCACATACAAAGGATCATGAAGAGAATGATTTTGGAGCCATCGAAATAACACTGGAAACTAGAAGCCAGAGTCCAGTGAGTCCCATATTGGGGTATTCACGCCCTCATGTGTAGTCCTCTCCCACACTGAGTAGGGCTTATGGACAGGGCATGACTGGAATGATGGTGTGTAATGTGTGGCTAGGCATACAAGACATCGCAGCGTCCACCTGGCTCTCTGATCACTCGCTCTGGGGGAAGCCAGCTGCCATGTGTGAGGATACTCAGTGTCCCTGTGGAGAGGTGCACATGGGGAGGAACTGAGCCCTCCTAACATGTCAGCGTAATCTGCTAGTCATGTGACTGAGTCATCTAGGAAGCTGACCCTCCAGCTCTAGCGACAGCTTTACTGCAATTTCATGAATGACTCTAAACCGAACCAACCAGCTAAGTCACTCCCAAATTCCTGACCCACAGAAAAGACATGTTGATTGTTACTGTTTCAATCTGCTACATTTTGGGCTAATTTTAAACACAGGAATAGATGATAACAATGGAAAACAGCAAATCTCAAAATGTTGAAGGAAGATAATTTCCAACATATTTCTGGTTATTTAAAACTTTCATCCCTTGTCCCCTTTCTCAGAAGGCTCCTCTAGGATATGCTTCACCAAAATGAGGGAGTAAACCAAGAAACAGGAAGATATGGGGTCCAAGAGACAAGAGTCCCGACAGGGAATCCCACTTGGGGTAGTCAGGAGGCTTGGAACAGATTTTTCAGGAAGATGAAAATGATAGGACACCGGTAGAGTCCAAAGATCCTCCAAAATATATTTTTTTCCAGTAATTATTTTTCCTAAATGAAAGTGTTATATACATTATGGTACAACTCATAATAAAGAAATGCATGGTATGTATATTAGTTTCTTATTACTGAACATTCCATTAAATATAATCATGAATTATAATTATAATGAGGCTAGGTAAAATACTTAGAATCTCACAATAAAAAAAAAAAGAACTGATTAGCATATTGACCAGAACCTCAGGAAGTGTTTTGAATCCAAACATCTTAAGAGCTTTAGCGATTTGGTAAAAGTTTGGGGCTAAATTAGTGATAAATTTATTGAAAATTAAACGAATGCAAAAACCCTCCAGGAAAAACAAGAAGCTGTGCCAGAGATAAAAAGTTATCATTTTCTCTGAGTCTCAGTTGAGAACGGCATTTGCATAAGCTGTAATGGTGCAAACACTGATTGCGGAGCCAACCAAGGTTATCGTTTAATGCTTGAGAGTGTGGTAGGGCAGGGAAGCAAAGAGCTAAATCCTCACGTTCCCCAGTGGAAAAATCAACAATTATGACTGAAACTGACAAATCGAGAAGAGTAATACAAGCATATTGTTTAGAGGCATGACCAAAATGATCAGCTGAAAGAGGTAAACGTGGCTGCCTCCGCGGAGAAAAGCAGGTACAGCAGGGCTGCTATTTCTGTCCTAACAATCCGCATGGGAACTACTTGTATCCTTAAACCGGGGGCGGGGGTGGGGTGGGGGGGGTGGGGAAGCAGGGCTAATTTTTTTTTAAACTTTATTTTTTTATACAGCAGGTTCTTATTAGTTATCCATTTCACACCTATTAGTGTATATATGTCAATCCCAATCTCCCAACTCATCCTGCCCCCCAGCCACTTTCCCCCCTTGGTGTACATACGTTAGTTCTCTACATCTGTGGGCAGGGCTGATTTTAATACCTGAATTTCAGAACTCTAGATAGGATTGATTTTATTCTCCGTGCCACAGACTGGGCCTGTTCACGGCCCTCTTCCAGATTTCTGGAACTTTGGAGGACTCAGGTCACATCCCCACCGAACGAACGCCTGCTTTTGCTTCTGCTTCTGTGGATCTGTGTCCAAATCACATCCACCCAGCTGTGGGGTTCAGTCCTCAACACCCACCCTTTCCAGGTGGGCACATGCACGCAGACTCCACTAACAGCTGAGGAAAGGGGGGGACTGACCCTGCAGACACCTTCTAGCCCAGGTCAGGCATTCTTGCATCTACTTCTGCAACCTGGGCCCCCTCTTCCTCCTCGGCCCCGAGAAGAAATCCTGATTCCCACCAGCTCAGTGAGAACAACGTGACATGTGCTCCTTAATGAAGCCCTGTAACAGGTGAGGACCACTGCTCTCATTTTACAGACAGGGTGACCGAGTCAGGAGTTGTGAGTAGCTCAAGTCACAGAGTTAGTGTGACCCAGGTCCAGTACCCCCAGCGCTGGGACCACCCCCCTTCCCTGCCCACCTTCATTCCCTGGGTCATCCTCATGATGGACCTTCCTGGATCCTGGTCAGTAAGATGAGCCATGGTGAGGAGGGCCACTGAGAGTGGAAGTCCAGGCAGCTGCCCCTGCTGGGAGCCCCAGGGTGCCCCGGCTGAGCTGCAGAGGTCCACAGAGCGGAGTGGCTCCTGGGAGACCAGCTGCCTGCTAAGACCTCGGGCATGTCACCTCATCTTGTGTGGAGTTAACAGTATCTTCCTTCCTACCTTCCTTGTCAAGGTTAAAGGAATTCAAGCAGGTGACAGGACAGTGCTCCACAGCTGGCCATCGCCAGTCCTCCTTTGCCTGGTACTTTCTTGCAGCCCAGCCAAGTCCTGACTCCGCTGGGCCTCCACGGGAGGGGGAAGACCGGGGGGTTGGAATGGGGAGGTTAGCTTGGGATCAGACTTGCTGACCAGGGATGAACCCCAAAACATGCTCACAGACCAGAGGCTTCGTGAGGGTGGAGCATGGGAAGCCCAGAGGGGGCGGGTGACTGGCCTGAGGCCACTCGAGGGGTTGGTGGCGCAGCTGGACCCCTGTTCCCACCCCTATTATGACTGCAGTCTTAGCCCCTGCCGAGTGGGGCCTCCAAGGTGGGTGCCCAGGGTAGGAGCGGGGTTGGGAGTATCCTTGAACCACCACCAGGGTTCCCACACCCATGCTGGCCCCCAACCCGCCAGCCCCAGTCTCCCAGGTTAACACATTCCTTGACCACGTCCCTGCTGAGGGCAGGTGTGGGGCGGGGGAGGTGATGCCGGCTTTTGCAAGGAGCAGGGGCCAATCCCCCGAGTTAGGAGGGGGCTGGAGGCCCCCTCCCCCAGCCTGCAGCCTGTTGTGGTGGCTCCTGTCCCACCACCAGACCCTCAGTCCCCGCAGTCAGCAGGACCGAGGTGCCTGCCGGTCCAGCACCTTGGAGAGGGGACAGTCACATGCCCACAGAGTCCTTGTGTAGCCACCCACACCTGCTTTCTCAACCTCTCAACACTTGGGGGAAGCTTCTAGGAACTTACCGGAGGGCAGGCTCACGAGGGGGGCAAGCAGGATCTGAACCCAGGTCTGTAATCTGAGCCGAGTCAAGGCACTTGACTTGCAGGCCCAGGGAACCGGACCCCAATCATGCTCCTCAAAGCTGCCTCTGGGGTCACATCCGCAC